TTTCCTCGATCTTGATATCTATATCATTAACGGAAAGCTTAATACTAAAATATATGATAAAAGAGATGATTTTTCATTTCCTATCGTTAATTATCCATTTTTAGATGGTGACGTTCCCTTGTCACCATCTTACGGTGTTTATATATCTCAACTTGTACGATTCGCTCGTGTATGTAACAATGTTTTAGATTTTAACGAGAGAAATTTATGAATTACTGAAAAATTATTACACCAGGGTTTTCGATATCACAAACTAGTCAAAACATTTACTAAATTTTATCATCGGTATAAGGACATCATTCGTAAATATAGCTCAACATGCAGACTTCTTATACGTTCAGGTATTTCACATCCAATTTTTTATGGAAATATTCTTTATAAAGCACAAAAATGTCAGTATTCACCTCTGAAACTAACAAAACCTTTAAATAGACTTATTAAGAAGGGATATAGTTACGATACTGTTGTCAGGTCATTAAAGATTGCATATTTTGGCGTTAATATTGATTCACTTATAGGGTCTTTGCATCGGCACTAAACACATTTATTTAAAAACCAGTTGTTGGCATGACACGGGTTATGTTCTTCTCATATATGTTATGATGGTATGATACTAAACCCCTAACGGGAAGGATTGTGCCTGATATTCATATGATGAAGACATAATCTTTCAATCAGTTTAATTGAAGTCTGGAGCTGGCATGTCAGTTAACTGCTAGTAGTCTGTTGTTATTTATGTATTATTGTCATTTTGTTTATTTTCTTTGGTTACATCTTCTGACATCAGACTCGGACTTCTCTTGAACTGAATTTTAATGTGCGTATTGTTATGCGTTTACTTTTCTACATTGGCTAGAGGTATAGGGGGAGGGTTGAGATCTCATAAACATGTTTAACCCCGCCGCATTTTTGCGCCTGTCCCAAGTCAGGAGCCTCTAGCCTTTGTTAGTCTTGTATTATTTTTAATTTTAGTTTCTTGTGTACAATTTGGAGTTTAGTATGGCGTTCATTATCACTGAACTAGTATATATATTTGTTTAGGGGCCAGCTGAAGGACGCCTCCGGGTGCGGGAATTTCTCGCTGCATTGAAGACCTGTTGGTGGCCTTCTGCTGTTGTCTGTTCTGTGGTGGGGTTGTTGTCTCTTTGACACATTCCCCATTTCCATTCTCAATTTTAGACCGTTGGTTTTCCTGTTTGAATTGTTTTACACTAGTCATTTTGGGGCCCTTTATAACTTACTGTTCGGTGTGAGCCAAGGCTCCGTGTTGAAGGCCGTACTTTGATCTATAATTGTTTACTTTTTACACATTGTGACTTGGATGGAGAGTTGTCTGATTGGCACTCATACCACATCTTCTTTTTTCTATGAACCACTAGAGAATGTGGAGGGGTTAAACATGTTTGTGAGCGCTCAATCCTCCCATAACAGGAGACAGTGGTGTAACAGCACAACATAAGAACAAACTGTAATAAACAGTAGCAATTGGCTTAAATCAAAAGATCGGTACGAGACACAAAAACAAAAAACATAAAAACAATAGAAACAAAGCACAGAAAATGAAACAAGCCTGTCAACTCTGAAGTTGTGAGGTGAGGTGTATAACATTTTAATCTTAACAGATAAGGTTTGTTAATTATGCTGCCCAATGTCGGTGGTTCTCTCCGGGTACTCTGGCTTCGTCCACTCATAAATACGACCCAATGATAAAGCCAAGATATACAAAAGCGGCGCCACACAGCAAAAAAAAAAAAAAAATAACACAATGTCTATGGTTTGAATAGATGTAATATGTTACATGTATATCGAATGGCCACGTTATTGATATTAAAAAGAAAACCCTCCACCGATGATCAAATGACTTTGAGGCCAGTCTTACTCCTGGGTGATAAATAACCTGTAGCTAGACTTGTAGGGGAGACGTACTGACTACTTTGCGAAAAATATATCGTGGACTGAAAGGGATGAAGTGCAGATCTGTAGTACTCTGCAAGGACTAATATGGATAAATTTCTAATATACTAGTGGGTTACAAATAAGCTGTAGACCTGTAGGGGTGACGTACTGACTGTTGTGCGAAAAATATTGTGTGAACTAATAGAGATGAAGTACAGATGTGGCGGGACAACATCTTGAGACAAAAAATGCAAAAACAAAAAACAAATCGCAAAAAGAACCTCCCAAAGAAAACCCAAAATAAAACATGCCTTATGGAGGAAATATATTTTAGTGTAAACAATATTTTATTTTGAAAATATTAACGTAAACATTACAATATGACAGTTTTATTTGGATTGGAAAACAAGTGAATTTTCACTTTTACAAATTCCTCTCCCAGAAATATATTTTAAATGATCACTTGGATGATAATACCTTCTCAAGAGAAACTGACGAATAACTGATGACCTCATCAAACTAAATCAAAATTCTTTATTTCTAATTAAAGGGCCTTGATTTAGAGTATATGAATCATTACAAAATATACTTGAAAAGCTAAATTATTCAATATCAAAGCATACATTACATGTTACAATCGTCCTGAACATGCATGAAATATTTGCCACTGGACGTTAAGCAGCTAACAATAAATCAATCAATTAACATTACATGTTACAACAAATATATAGGGACACATAGAACAAGACAAAGAGGGACAACTCTATATGATAAGTCATATTTATATGTCATCTGTACAATATTTTTAGACAGTCTAAATAACGTATTGCATCTTAATCTGTACCTTTTTGCTTTGTCTCAAATAGAAAATTGTACTTAGATACAGACTATATAATAATGTTTTAGCATAGAAAATTTCATTTGTCCTGATCTAGATAAACATATTTTCTAATTGGATGTTTCTCGGATTTGATAACTTTTAAATAATAAATATATTTTTAGAATTCTTATCTTAGTAAATAAATAAACAGGACAGTAAAGATAAAGATGAGGCCCCTCATGGGGGTGTTCAAGTAATCACATAATCACAATTGTTTTGCCAATATAATCACATAATCATTAATTATTTTTTTAAACAAGATAATCAAATAATCAAAAATACAGTCCTAGACTATCAAATAATCATGAAATATTTGGTCTGGTAATCAAATAATCACTATAAAAAACGGCCAAATAATCACATAATCAAAAACCCCATGAGGAGGCTCAAAGATCGGATAATATTTTGTTGCATTATTTGAAGAATGCGCAGCAACGCAACCAGTTAAGTAAAGATGTATTTTTTTTACTTCTATTTCCGAACAATGTCTTCTGAACGTTCTCCTGGTGACAAATTTTGAGTACGTTCCAAATTTATACTTACACGTTATGGTGTAAATGTATAGTCAGCTATCTAGATTTTCATTGTAAAAAGCATATTTGAGTACTAGTATAAATGATTTTACTAGTTATCGTTAGATTTATGTCGTTATACGTTCTGCGCACTAGTTCAGAAAAAAGTGTAACAAAAATACCGAACTCCAAGGTAAATACAAAAAGGGAAGTCCATAAAAACTGACAATATCAAACGTTAGACTTTTATCAACCAACGGAACCAATATATCAGATATATAAGAATGACCAAGTCTATACAATTATATGAATGGTTACTTTAATAAAACTTTATATAATGGGCATCTACCAATTAAAGATTTAATTCACTCACAGACCCCTCAAATTAAATAAAAAAAACTAAAAACTAAAAACATAAAAGACCCGAAAGATGCCGGTTCATATCCAGTGGAATTTGATTTTGAAAATGTCTACATATAAATCTAAAATATCAGTTAGTGGACACACCAGGTTTCCGTACAATATAAATATATCTCGCTGTCAGATGCCTTTTTTTTTCTGTTCCTAGTTCAGAAGATGGATGATTACACTTGATTGTTTATTTGATTTTTACATTCAGGTAAGGCTGCAAATTTTTACTAACATATAATTCTTAAACGTGGTGCTTTTGTGAGTAAATTTCTTAAGAATATTAAATATCATTCTATAGCATCTAGCTAAATGTAATCTCCAGGCGTACTGGAAACGGGTCAAAAAGAAATGGAATGAAGTCAACAGAGCCGATATTCTGAAATAAGGATTAATTTTATTTCAACACTTATAAAATCTTTGTTTTGGGTTTTGAATATTAACAGTTGATTACAATATATAAAGCATTATTTCAGCAAGAAATAGATTATAGTCAACCATATGATAGACAAAAAAAAAAAACAAATACACAATTTGACAGTTATTTTTCAATGAGGAAATTTGTATTTCACAAGTAATATTATAAAGAGGGAGAAATATTTTCTGATCACTCTGGTGGATAGTTTTCTCATTGACAATCATAACACATCTCTCCATTCTTTTCATAATGTCATAGAAATTAAAATGATATACGGTTGACCCGGATGAACTCTTTTTATATTTGAATTATTTAACTGTATAGAACAAGAGAGGTGAAAGATACCAAAGGGACATTCAAACTCATAAGTCGAAGATGAATTGACAAAGCCATGGCTAAAAAGAAAGAGACCAAAAAAGACAAACAACAATACACAAAACACATCATAGAAAATTAAAGACTGAGCAACACGAACCCCAACAAAAACCGGGAGTGATCTCAGGTGCTCCTGATCAGTTGCTGATACGGTCATTTCATTCACTCCATTATCTTTCATCTACTTGTTTCTGACGTACAAAAATTCAATCCTGGTATCTATGATGAGTTTATTGTTGATAATTTCACACCAGACCCTACGAACTACTTTTACTTGAGCCAAAATTCAGTAAATAGTTGTTAGTTCGTATAATTTAAAAATATACGCTGCAAAGAAAATCCCATTGAAAAAAACCCAACTGATTTTTAATAATTATTTTATTCCTAGAACTCAAACGAACTTTACGTACATCATAAATTACACTATTTTAACACAGCATATTAAAATATCAGTAAAAAACCAGGTGTCCGTACAAGATAGATATATCTCGCTGTCATGTGACCTTTTTTTCTTCCTGGTTTAGAAAAATGGATGATTACATTTGATTGATTTTGTTTTATTCCTAAATTAAGGCAAGCTTACAATTGTTACTATCATATTTGATTTAGGTGTGCTATTTTTGTTGATAAATCTGTTACAGTATATTCATTATCATTCTAGAAAATACTAGCTAAAATTAATTTCCAAGCGTACTCAAAACGGGTCAAAACATGCATTAAAATGGAACGAAAAATGAAAATGGTAAAAAGAACTGATATTGTGACAAAAGGATTAATGTTGGTTTTCAATACTTATAAATTCTTTTTCTTTCAAGTTTTATTAACATCATTCAAATATAGCTACTGTCAACACAGTTAAAATATCGACAGTTGATAATCATGAAATCTCATACATAGAGTATCATTATGTGGGTCAATCGTAGAAAAACATTGTTGAAGTATACTGAACATCTCTAGTAATATAAAATCTAATAATGAAAGTCTAATTTTTACAAAATACTATATTCAGTAATTGTTTGAATTTAAGCTTGTAAATCAAAAGACTAACAACAATTATTTTTGCAAGACAAAGATGATTGTCAGTTATGTGATAGAAAAACACTGGTATTTGTTCATCGGATATAAATGTTGTTGATTATTAATGTTTTAATGTCGAACTGAAATGAAATAAGCAATCGAGACTAAATAAGCAATGAATAAGAGTTGGCATTTATCTTCCAAGGATTCCACAACTTGAAATTTGAATTAGAGTTGTTTTATTTAAATATAAAGAAATCATCCTTTAGTGCTGTGTACTTTTATTCATATAATCCGTTCGTGTTCTATTAACCATCTTAAACAATTCTGGCAATAATCCGTTGCAGTATGTGGTATTGTGACATCTGGATGTTTTGCAAACCTTGTTTTAAATAACTTATTGTAATATGTATATAGTTTTATATATTTTTTTTATTAACTGTTTGTTGTATTATAATTAATGTTTATTATTATTTTGTATATTTACCTCATGTTTCACATATATGTGTCTGAGCGTTGCATTATATTAAATCTTGAAAAAATCTTGAAGGTAGCCGAACTTATTACGAAGTAGATTTCGAATATTTCATATATTTATTTTCAATGCCGTCCACAATTTGCTAAAACAATATCATACCAAAAATTATATATGTAATTCAAAAGCAAATCAGATAAGCCTCAAATGAACAGAAAAGTGGAGCTTTAAAATTCACAAGAATTGTAAAAAACATTGATATTGATTAACATCTTTGATATTATATATTTTTCAGAGATCACAATGGCCTCTAATACAAGTATATGTGGTATATGTTCACTTCGACAGATAACGAAAACATCTGACAACTGGTGCCCGGAATGCGAAGAAGCTCTTTGTAATGAGTGTACAGACCATCATAAAGTACTGAAAGCCACACGAAGTCACGAAGCCATACCAATTTTCAATTACAAGTCACTTCCTTCATTTGTAACTAACATACAGCAATCATGTATCTATCACAATGAGCAATATCTACAATACTGCGTTGACCATGCTTTACCTATTTGTTTTAAATGCATAAATGACCACCGTAAATGCAACGTCACTACTCTTGAGAATACCTCCGGTAATATTAAGACGTCTGGGCATTTTCTAGATCTGGAATCCAGGCTGGACGACCTGGTACAAAACATCGATCGAATGAAGAAGGACCGAAAGACTAATCTGACTGACATTGAAGACATGAAAACGCAGCATGTTAGTGAAGTTAAGAAGATACGAGTTGAAATAAACAAACATTTAGACAATCTTGAGAGACAAATTATAAAAGATCTTGACAAGAAGGAGTATCAATGTAAAGAGATGATTCGGGGAGTCTTATCGTCAGTGAAAGAACAAGAAACCATGATAAATCAATGTATGGCCAACTTCCAAAGCATCAAACAATATGCATCCGATCTTCAAACATTTCTTGGGATGAGAGAAATTGAGTCGAAAGTTAATGAAAATGAACAATATCTGCGGACGCTGATAGAAACACATAGTTTCGACCAGCTTGACCTGGTTTGTAAGGTAGACACAGGTGTACAAAATATTATGAAAAATGTAAAGAATTTCGGATCAATAGAAATAAAAAATCGCATTAATAATATTCAGTTGACCAGAGCGAAATATAAGCAAGCACAACTGCAAGTAGCAGCAGCGAAAAAGACTGTAAACGATGTGAAGTTAATTCTGCAGAAGAAGATAGTAACAAACGGAATTTTTGTTAGAGGTTGTTGTATGTCAAAGGAAGGGGAATTTCTGTTCACTTATCATACTAAACATTCGCTTGGTGTAATTGCGTCAGATGAAACCCTCAAATATAGCATGTCACTTGATCCTAGTCATGGGTATGACTTAACATTTGTCGATGATAAAACTGTTGCTATTACATCTGGAGATTCATCAAAGAACGGAATTGATATTATTAACATTGAGAACCGAAGTAAAATAAAGTTCATCAATGTTCCTGGTCCTCCATATGGAATCACACGTGATCGCGACTCGCTGTTTGTCTGTGTAACAGAACTTGGTATATACAAAGTAAACACTTTTGAATATACTACCTCTCACGTGATCAGTTGTAAGTTGCCAAAGTATTCATATGTTTATGTATTCGCCGACAAAATATACTACACTGACAACTTTGATCAAAGTGTAGTTTGTTGTGACTTTCAAGGATCACGTGTTTGGTATTTTAAAGATGCTTCAGTATTGAAGTTACCGAGAGGCATCACTGTAGATAATGATGATAACGTGTATGTTGTAGGAGAAAATTCGTCGAATGTAGTCATCTTATCAAACGATGGAAAATATCACAAGGAAATTCTGACCGGAAAGAATGAACTTTTGCATCCATCTGCCATTTCCTTAGATAAACAGAACGGGACACTTCTTGTTGCGAACCGAAGCCAGACTGCTTTTCTCTACAAAATAGCGTAAAAGTTATTGAAAATCAGGGGTGTCTTGGAAATATGTAAAATTCAAAGTTTAAAAAACGTATTTATAGCCTTTTAAACAATTGATGTCACTCATTTGCTTTTCATTGAATGCAAGTAACACAAGAAATCAAAAACCTAGTGACTAAGTTTAACATTTCTCTATATGAGGTTTGCAAAATTATAGTTTACAAATTAAGGAGACATGTTATGATTGTAATGGGACCAATATCTTTAGATATTAAATTACGTGGGTGTAAGCACCTATAGTTCAGTATGGCGTCTTTAACGATGAACAAAACACACATCGTATAATAAAGTAAACAATCCATTTTATGTATATATATATATATATAATTAAACAATATAAAAAAGAAGATATGGTATGATTGCCAATGAGACAACTCTTCATAAGAGACACAATGACACCCCCTCATTTCTCAATACTTTGGTTCGTTATAACAAAAAATAAATGCATACAATTTCTACTTCTATTATTATTATTTTTCAAGTTATAAAAGTTTAAAAAAAATCAGTTGAAAAAAGTTTAACTCATCAGATGGATACAAATAGAAATACATCTAAAAAAACACAGAGTAGACGTGGCCGGTTACTTGTACATCCCAACATCAAAAAGACTCTAAGTACAGATCTGAGAGTACTCGCAGTTACTGACAGCTAGTTCAAAACCAATAACAACTAATAAGAAAAAATCATGCATCTAAGACTAAATTATCAATCAGTACGTATCCAACATCCAATGGATTTAGTGTAAAGACGTCATACACAGTCAAAGAAAAACACGACTTTGTGCAATGCCAAGATGTAGGTATCGACAGATTGTAGAGCCATGAATGTGCATATGTATATAACAATAATATTTAGTTTGCTTTTAATTTACTGATAACAAAATCAATATTAATACCAATAAAAACAATATTCAAAGATCTAATTACAGCGTTGAATTGGTAACCTTTTGGAATAAGTCTATTTAAAGAATCGATAAGTTTACCAGGATCGTTTATGAATTTCCGGGCACGGTAAACAACATCTCCGTAAAAATGAGGATGTGCTATCCTGTTTGAAATAAGTTTTCTACAGGTACAACCAAACTTCAAAATCAAATCTTTATATCTATGGAGGAATTTAGTAAAGGTTTTTCAATAATTTGTGGTAACGAAATCCCTGACTTAATAATTTACCAGTAATACATAGATTACGTTCATAAAAATCCAAAACGTAACAACAGACACGGGCAAAGCGAACGAGTTGTGATATATAAACACCGTAAGATGGTGCCAAAGGAACATCACCAGCCAAAAAAGGAAAATTAACAATAGGGAACGAAAAATCGTCCCTTTTGTCGTAAATTGTATTCTGGAGTTTCCCGTGTAAAACTGAAATATTTAAATCTAGGAAAGGACAATTATTACCGTTTACAATTGATTTATTTAAAGTAAGTTCCTTTGGGTAAATTTCGGCAGTGTATTTAGACAGTTCTTGATTATTTAACGAAAAATATCATCAAGATAACGGTAAATGTTATTGAATCTATCAATTAAATGCAATTTAGACGGGTCTTTACTGAGTTTGGTCATAAATTGTGATTCATAACAGTACAAGAACAAGTCTTCTATTAAAGGGGCGCAATTAGTGCCCATAGGAAATAAAGGCAACAGTAGTATACCGCTGTTCGAAATTCATAAATCTATTGAGAAAAAAACAAATCCGGGTTACAAACTAAAACTGAGGGAAACACATCAAATATAAGAGGAGAACTACGACACAACAGAAACACAACATTAAAATGTAACACACACAGAAACGAACTATAATATAACAATGGCCATTTTCCTGACTTGATACAGTACATTTTAAGAAAAAATGGTGGGTTGAACCTGGTTTTGTGGCTAGCCAAACCTCCCGCTTCTATGGCAATGTTGAATATAACATTAAAATGACAACATTACATGACAGGACTACAATACAAATAAATGGGACAACATATAGGACAGAGAAACATACGAATAATAGCTAACAAAAGGTACCAGGTTAAAAATTTAATACGCAAGACGCGCGTTTCGACCACACAAGACTAATCAGAATACCTACAATCTGTCGATAAACTTTGTTGCCGAAACGTACTTAAATATTATCAAGGAGAAAATTAACAGCTTCAATCATCTCATCACACCTCCAGTAAGTTTATCTAGCATATTTACCTTTCTCATCAGAAAAGATGGCTTTAAATGAGTTGCAGCAAATATATTTGCATTCAGATTTACCAAACGACCATTTAATTAAATAGGAAAACTTTTGTTTGATAAGATTATGTGGAAGTGCAGTGTAAATAGTTGAAAAGTCAAAACTGTCAACAGAATCAAAAGGACCACCAAAAAGCACGTAATTTATCTAAAACATCCAAAGAATTTTTTACACTCCAAAAATAGTTAATTCCACTATTTTCATATATTTTATTACAAAATTTAATGATAAGTTCTTTGGTAGTAGTTAAGGAACTAGTTAGAAGCACTGAAAGATAAGTTGTAGAACACTTACTAGAGGCCGAGATAAAACGATATTTTACTGGTTTATTGTGTGGTTTATGTAACCAATACATAGTAGGAACCTTCAAATGTTCAAAAGAGGCCTTTAGCTGTGAAGTGGTTATGATATGTTTGTTTACTAGATGACTCTCTGTGGAGCGCACGGAATTGCGTCCGTGTTCATTGTTTGTTGGCTTGTCGGCCGGTAAAAACACAAACCGCTTTGAAAGTTCTTGAAGTTTATTTCTTATTTTAAAAATAGGCGTATTATGTACTCTTTTATTTATTTCTGAATTATTTTCAAAATGTGATATCCGAATTTTTGGTCCTTTTTTCAAAAAGTTTTTAACCTCTCTGTCTTGAACGATATTGAGGCCCCCCTTAATAGCATGGCCATAGGGATCATATCTAGAATTCGACGATTCACAGTTTCAAGTTAGAAGAGTTTTTATTTTCTACATTGACGTCTGATGTTACTGACGTAAAATTAAAAATTGAACTGCTGCTGGATTTTTGTATGTGTACGAAATAATAGGTGGTTCTGTGTTATCAAAATAGGGAGGTATAAAGTTTTGAATGGTAGAGTCATTAAATATACTCGATAAGTTGATAAAATCAATACCTCTGTTTATATATTTAATTTTCAGAAAGTGCCGTTTATGATCTTCAGGTTTATCAATACGCGGGAACAGCCAAAAAGCTGTAATTATACGCGAATATTCATAGAACGGGCTGAAGAAAGAGATTGTGTCACACTCCTTGAAATTATCATGTAATTTACTTATTGGTATTTGACCCAGTTTACGTAATAATTGATGCCTACCATTGTTTTTAAAGATAGATAGTCATCAAGTGTATAATTTATACGATGTTTAATTCGTTGATTTCGATTGATACATTTGTCATGAGACCTATTATTACGTTGCCTTTTATCATCAATATTCATGATGTCAATTGAAGAAGTTTTAGATATGTTCCCTTGTCCAAGTATATATTGTCATTTAGACCAGGGGATATGCCTTCTGCAGTCGTTTAATCCAAGACAGTTCGATAATTAACAGTGTAGTTGTGTTTACCTAAATGTTGGTAAATTATACTTTTGAATTCCTTAGGTTTTCGGAAGCGGTATAGATGTGTTCGTCTAAAATAATTCCCGTCCTGTTTGTATATTGTATACCACACTTTTGCTTTGTTCAAGTAACCAGATAAATGAGGCTTTGAGTTTTTCATGTAATGTCACAGGAACAGGAAAGCGAAAAAGCTAACCCGTTCACTGTTGACCAAACAGTATTATCAGAAGATAATCTAGATCAGGTTAGTCATTTTCTGGCATTGCACGGGAATATTTGTTGATATGCACGTGCATTTTAATTTAATAATCTGGTTGCAGCAGCATTGCCACCTTTGACACAATTGTAAAAAGTGCTAAATTTAGAAGGGGAATTTCGATTGACGGCGGTTGAATTTATATTAGGAATTAGTTTTTGAGCACGTGAATATCCTTGAAAAACTGGTGTATATTACATATATGTTATGTTTGCAAACTAGACAACTACCCACCAGATAACACATGGCGTGGATGAGAGCAGCTATATGTCACCGTACAGCCTTCAACAATAAGTGAACCGCTTACGATAAAGTAAGCTATAAAAAAAAAACCAATCCAGACAAAAGAGGGACGAAAGATACCAGAGGGACAGTCAAACTCATAGATCGAAAACAAACTGACAACGCCATGGCCAAAAATAAAAAAGACAAACGGACAAACAATAATACAGATGACTAAACATAGAAAACTAAAGACTAAGCAAAGTGTCACAAAGTGTAACACAATTCAAACGAGGAAAAACGAACTATTTGTTATATGCTAGCACAATTTACGAAAATAATATGACAAACAAAAAAGGAAGAACACACTAATTTACACTCTGCTGACTTTGAACAAGCACATTAAGAATGAGGTGGTGTAATACGTTTTAATGGATACTATATGCTCCATTGTTGTCCTTTAGATGAAATTATGTCAAAAATAGAGGGAAATTACAAGAAAATGTAACCGTCGGATCTCAAATATTCCAGGACGACCAATGAACACGAATTCGCACTTTGCTGATATATATTAAAATATATACCTGACCTTTAAATCATATTTGCCCTACATTTATATTTCTACAACAATTGATTTTCAATTAGTAACCCAAAGGTAATGAATTGTTGAGACACTCCATATATGAAAGTATAATAACCACATCAAAAAAATGGTAAAAAAAAAAAAAAAACCCCAAAAAAAAACCAAAAAAAAAAAAAAAAATAAACCAATGACGCCCCGGCCTAAAAAATTTAACGTGTCCATTACTGTTATGCATTTCAACTAGATTTAGAATTCGAAAGTTTGTGTTGCTTTGATGGTTAAGATGATTAGTTATCGAGTGAGGGAGGTTAACAGTTCAATCCCCGGCCGTTTCAAAGTACTGGTTCGATAATTGCGTCAGCAACCTGTGAACAAAAATTACCAAACAGACATTAAGTGGGCAATATAAATTCTTCAACATTAAGCAAGTCTCAATTCAATACATTTTTAAACTGTAGCGAATCTATACAAAATTTTACAAACATGCACATAGAAAACCAAAGTTCTGTTACTGATACCTAATTATGTAAACAACAAACATAATGATATAGTTATGACGAATGGACAATATTGAATAAGCAAAGGCACATGTAAATGTGGTGGGTAAAAAACCTCATCTGTTCTGTACAGGTATTATCCTCCGTTATGTATCGGAGCACTCCCACTTGGGATATAGGTTTAACACTTAAATATTTACAAAGATATGTACATAGTATGATGGGGTGCTAAATTTAATAGTCTTTTATACAGATGAGAGCTGTGGATTTAAAGACAAGTATTTATAATTATGTGCTATTTACACATTTATAGT